AGCGTTTATTAAAATTAGGATATGAAATAGATAGTAAAGATTACTGGGAAAATTTTGTATTTCGTATCAAAAATAATATGAGCATCCATAAGATATATGTAATGACCCTAAACAAGGGATATAAAAAAAATCTTGCATCATTAATTATCCAGAAGACATATCGTTTATGGAAAAAACAAATTAATTTAGCTAAAATAATTCAACATACAGTAATTAAATGGCTGGTGATCATTTATGAAGCAAGCCAAAGATCGATATTATCAAAATGCAAATAAGCCTCATCATTAGATAGAGTAAATCTTATTTCTGCAATCAATAATTATATCAGCTTTGGTCATTGTAAATATTAAATTATTTTATTAATACGGATTTAAAAGTGTACCTAAATTGATTATCCGAGTATTAGTTATTTCCGATATACCATTCACAATGAAGTATCTTTCGATCCAAGATCTTAAAAATTGCTGCAGCTAGATATATGTATATGGAAAACCGAAGTGATTAGAGAAATTCGCAAAAGATTTAATAGTGGACTGTACATTTATTGATAGTAAAACAACTGTTGAAGATTTATTGACCCCAAATCTCAGTATAACAGTATTAGTAAGGCACTTGCCCGAAAAAATGGATTTTATATATTTCTAGGATGGATCCATCAAATTTCCCGCAGTAAAAGAACTTGGTAAAGGAGCAACAAATACTGGTAAAAAAAAGAAAAGGTAAGAGGTTGGCTTCGTAATGAAAAAGTTTCTGTTTCTTTTCCCAATATATTTGAATCGGAAAAATTAAAATCCTTACCTCAATATTTAATCGAAACATATACTCATTTCGTAGTTATTGACAATCCTGAATATGACTTAGTTTTAGGAAATGTATGCTAATGCATACTGGATATAGAATTAACAAGTATAAAAACCCACGACTATACATTAATAGACCTAAGGAGATCGAAAAACAAGAATTAAAAAAAAGTCTATATCAGGCAAGAAATGGTATTTGGAAATTACATCATTTACTGTGTACATTCTATGAGCTATTGTTTCCAGAATTTATTACAACAGATTGAGATGGGGAAGTTACATTAATCAAGTTTTCCGAACATAGGCGTGACTTCGATGGCCCAAGTGAATATTACGATTCAGAATATTGTGAGACGGAGTCTGAATCTAGTGATTCCGAATTTAGCGATTCCGAGGCAGAGTTTGGATTTAGCCATTCTGAAGCAGTGAATGTACCTCTCACGATACAAGATAATAGCAGAGCTAGTTTCGAGATACATAATATCGGTTTATTTCTGCATTCGATGATTATATCAGAGAGACTGGCGGGATTATTCCTAATCATTCATCATGAGTTACAAACAATTATATTTAATAGCGAAGAAAGAATGGGTAATTATTTACCATAACAGCGAAGTAATAATTTTATTTCAAAATGGCGCCCAAAAAATCCAACAAAGATCCCGAATCGAAACAGTCGAAGAAGCCTACCAAACAAAGACCACCTCTTGCACGATTAGCTAAAGATGATATCGAACGCATACTTTATACCAAATCCTTAAATGGTGGATCTAAAAAAGTTTCGGAGTGGTATAGAATTTGTACCCAAAGGTGTAACAAATTTGAAAATCTGAAGACCCATACTCATACGCTAACTCAATCGGCGAACCCAACTTGCCTGAATGGTACCCTACTAATACCAAAATCGAGAAGGCGGAATCGGGGCCAGAACCAGCATCCCAAAAAGCAGAAAAGAAAACAGGCCGAAATGGAACGAATTGCGAAAAATATTTTTAGGTCGGAATTGGGTAAACTGGTACAAGCCGATGACTAAAAATATGAAAAAATTATTCAAATGTGCAATACCACATGGTTGACCTAAATTTGAATCGAAAAACATTAAGTATATACTGTATTTTAAGATGAGTCGTAATAATCAGCGTAAAACAATGGGTAAATTCACCGATAATCCAAAACAATATTTACAACTGCTTAATACCGATAAATATGAGTATATACGTGATCTGAAAACTTGATTCATTAAAATTATTAATAAATTCACAGTTGCAAGAATATTTAAGTGTATATACTCACAATGAGTAATTGATATACAGTATTTACATAATAAAAACCCCTTTATTTAACCAATGACGATGGTGCCCAAAGACCTGATATAAAACACTGCTCGTACTATTTAAGATCAGGCATTCGATCCTCTGCCTTCAATCCTCGTCGGGCACGTCTCAAATAAAAGAATAAAATGTTGATAATTAATACCTAGAATACATTTGAATAACCCGATCAATTCGGAAACGTAATTACTTACCGATTCTTCCTTGCCTCTTATCACTAGCTTTATCAGGTATAACAGTTTGGTTTTTTTTTTGTTTGGTGAGTCGGACCCGGAAGTTTAAATCTTGAGCATTATTCAAGTCTTGATCAGAAGTCGCAAGATCACTATTAATGGGAGTGGAGTTGTGCTGATGGCGGAAAAACTTTCCATGGATAAAGTAAACGATGCTGTGCCTTATCCCTTGAGTTACTGGGAAATTTCCGTGCAATAAAAAACGCGATAAAAACGCAACTATTTGTCCGGGACGAAGTGGAACGATAATCTGGAGTTGCGGGAAACACAGTTCACCCCCCTCGAAATCACCTAAAGCAACCAAGCAACATAGAGAATTTGGTTCATCGTGCTCATCCCAGTGATAGTCACTGATCGTATTGAAATTAATTGCGATCATAGGGAAGACGCCGAATGATTTGGCGCGAAGGCTCCAAGATAATTTTTTTAACTTCGTATACATCTCCGCGTAATTATCGAGAAGGAACTTGTTAACAGTATCTGATAATGGTTTGAGATTTCGAAGTAAATTATTGACGCATTCCTGGTGATCGATGTTGTGGGAGCTAGCGGTGTTCGAGCTGGTATAGGGAAGATGGTTATATACAGTAGAGTGTACGCGCCGAAGTATCGATGAAATTTGATCAGAACTCGTCGCTCCGATGCGAATGATGTTTTAGAGTATGATAATAATATTCATTAAAGGCATTGGTTGCTTTCTGTCACGGCGTTTTGATCATTAAGATTTTCAAGATGGACTAAGGTTCGTCTATTCAGGTTCCGATATATAATGAATTTGCACCAAGAGAGCGAAAATTATTACGAACGGACATGATAAACATAAATTTTTCTTTCCGCGTGTTGCGCGCGACGGCAGTATTAGAGATTGTATGAAAATCTTTATTATCTCGAATGTTAAGAGAATGCCTGAGCTTACACCACTTCAATCTAAGGTGCCGAACATGTTTTCTTTTTATTGGTCCATCAGGTCGTTTTTTCCTAACCACCGACCGAAGGCAACCCACAATCGTTTATGATGAACTGGCTGGAGCCTGTGATATAGTTTGATTCTGTTTCTCAATTTTATCAACGGTTCGTTCTAGTTTCATTATTTTGGTTTTAAACTCGACATTGTCTTCTATGATCTGTTTTAGTTTGGAGTCTTCGTGCTTAAGCTCAGCATTCTCGGACACAAGCTTAGCATTCTCTTGTCTGAGTAAATCTAGTTCGGAAGACATGTTTGATATTGTGTGTTTTATATATTTGCAGATTTATTTATTTAAATTTGTATTTTTGACTGGCATATAAAAAGAATGTGACTAAATTTTCTAACCGAGGTCAGGAAAAATTCACAGTTGACGGACGTTAAAGTTAAACATCTAAACCAGTTATTCGAATATTGTCATTCACATAGTCAAAGTGCCAGAGCACATGTCCAACCGACACGATACGGGAAAAAAAACGTGAAAAATGGACATGTGAAAGCAGGGAGTATCAATTTATGAATAACGCTTTGTCCGCTTCTTTAGTAATAGTGCAACAGATGCGTGATCGATCTTACATCAGATTGATTTGTATTTATATAAAATGCCCAAAATATTGCCACTAATTTCGAATTCGAACTTGATGTCTTGTTTCACGTATATATTAGCCAGCTTGGCCGGTCTACCAATAATCCTTTTCGCGACCCCAGTGATTCTTACTGTCGGAGTTGTGGTATGCAATATCTGTCTGGTTGAACCCATTTCTCAGATTGCGCAAATAAGCCCTTCTTCTAATACCTCTTAGTTCTTTCCTATTGCTTGTGTTTCTTTTCTGAGCGCCTTTCTCGGATATCTCGGAATCCGGAGTATTATCTCGATCCTGGAATGCCTCGGAATAGTCCAAGGTAAATTTATTGCCGATTACCGGGTCTGTGTAAATGTAAATCGTCTGACCAATTCCCTAAAAATTTTTTACCTTACGAAAATGTCTAAAGCACAAATAGATCTTGCTAACTTGGATTTCAGCCGTACCTACTCATTTGAA